TATATGGCAGGTGCCCATCTATGAGATGAGGAATGATGGGAGGGACAACCTCTTGGGGGCACTGTTGATAGCAGGACAGTTTGTCATCCCAGAGGTGAGTTTTATTGGTTTTCTGTAAGAAATGCACATATTACATTTGGATACAAAGACAAGATACCGTCACATATTTGTGTTTTTTTAAGATGCTTATTTTGGAGCATGTTAACTTGAACAATATATAGCTAATGATAATTCTTATAAAGAAATTATTTTAAAGCCGTTTGAGTGAATTGCTTACTTTCTTCACAGGTTTGCCTCTATTTTCATCATAAGCTGTACAGGGGCAACCGTGTCACCAAAGTGGATGCTGGAAGTTTTAACGCATTTACTTCACCGAATCTGCCGCCATTAGCCAATGCTGAAGTCGACATTAAAAGTGATAACAGTTCTGCCAACATACACAGTCTTATGCCCGGTTCAGACTACATGATTTTAACCCGATTTTGCCACGATTTGCTTGACGTAGGGTGTCGTGGGGAATCGTAAACGACAATGGGCATCGGGACGCAAGATTCCATTGTTTCAGCATGGGTAGTGTGTCATAGTGGACGACAACCGATTCCGCGTCTGCGATGCTTCACGACATCACGACAGAAAGACTAGCATGTTTAATTTTTTTCCTGTCGTCTACGACGAGTTCTGTCACATTGGTGACATTGACCAATAGCAGCACAGAAGCTCTTTCATGCACAGGTTTCAAACATGGCAAAACGAAAGAGAGATTATGGTGCTGCTAGGTGGAGTTATGAGTTCGTGGAGTTGTGGCAACAGTACTCCTGCCTGTATGATGTGTCATCGAGAGACTACCACGACAGAACAAAGAAAGAAAAATTCTGGCGAACTATAGAGGAAGCGCTTCAGCAATGTTTACAATCTTGTTTTCGGAAGTCAGTCACTAGTTCCGCCTTCACGATGACGTCACGTTAAAGACGGCACGCGATGAATGGTCGGGAAGCAACGTGTAGTCTGACATGTTTCTTGTCCACGACACAACAAGATTTTAGGAGTCAAAATCATGTAATCTGATACAGTGACTATCGTGACCGACAAAAATATCGTGTAGTCTGAACCCGGCATTAGTCCCATTTGAGTCTATTCAATTAAAAGATTAGTTTACCCTCAACTATGAAAATTTGGTATATTATTTTGCTCCCTTTAACTGCTTTTTTTTTCAATTCTTTTTACACACTTTTCTCTCTTTACTATGCAATTATAATGAGGCTTTCAAGATTCAAAAAGGACAAAAGTAACACCATTAAAGTATCTTAAAGGGATAGTTCACCCAAAAATGAAAATTCTGTCATTAGTTACTCACCCTTATGTCATTCCAAACCTGTAAGACCTTTGTTCATCTTCAGAACACAAATTAAGATATTTGTGATGAATTCCGAGAGCTCTCTGACCCTCCTATCGACAGCAAGGATCCTTACACGATCAAGGGTCAGAAATGTAGCAAGGAGATCGGTAAAAGTCCCATTTGAGTCTATTCAATTAAAAGATTAGTTTACCCTCAACTATGAAAATTTGGTATATTATTTTGCTCCCTTTAACTGCTTTTTTTTTCAATTCTTTTTACACACTTTTTTCTCTTTACTATGCAATTATAATGAGGCTTTCAAGATTCAAAAAGGACAAAAGTAACACCATTAAAGTATCTTAAAGGGATAGTTCACCCAAAAATGAAAATTCTGTCATTAGTTACTCACCCTTATGTCATTCCAAACCTGTAAGACCTTTGTTCATCTTCAGAACACAAATTAAGATATTTGTGATGAATTCCGAGAGCTCTCTGACCCTCCTATCGACAGCAAGGATCCTTACACGATCAAGGGTCAGAAATGTAGCAAGGAGATCGGTAAAATAATCCATGTGACATCAGTGGTTCAACAGTAATTTTACGAAGCTACGAGAATACTTTTTGTGCGCAAAGAAAACAAAAATAACGACTTTGTTCAATGATTCGTCTCCTCCGCGTCACCCTATAGCGCCATTTTGGAGAGTATCGCATACGTAAACATCGTTTGCTGTTCTGTGTCAGCAGCACCATACGCGGATACGCTGTTTACATTGTTTACACTTGGGTCTGAATGTAAACAACGTATCTGCCTGCATATGGTGTTTATGTATGTGATACTCTACAAAATGGCGCTATAGGGTGACGCGGAGCCTTGATCGTGTAAGGATCCTTGCTGTCTATAGGAGGGTCAGAGAGCTCTCGGAATTCATCAAAAATATCTTAATTTGTGTTCAGAAGATGAACGAAGGTCTCACGGGTTTGGAACGACATGAGGGTGAGTAATTAATGACAGAATTTTCATTTTTGGATGAACTATCCCTTTAAAAGTGGTCTGTGTGACTGTGCTGTATTGTATAATCACTTAAATTTTTCTGTTGCTTTCTTCAGAAAGTTACCATATGATTTCAGAATTTAAAAAAAAAAAAATTTTAGAAGCATGAAAGCTTATTTGCATGGTTTGCATCTCTGTTCAACTTGTTAATGATGCATAAAATTAAAATTGCAAACATGAGGAGTAACAAATGTTGAGTCTAAATGTAAATATGGTTTAAAACTGCAAAAACATCACCATTGGATAGCTGACAAATGTATTAATTAAATTTATGTGAATGTCTAAGGGAAAACTTATGTTTTAAGTCATCTTTCTTAATTTCTTTCTTTTTCACTTTAATAATCTTGTGGTGTGAAGAATTAATTAGACAGTACAAATATTCCATGTTGTCTTACAATTAGTATTATACTTCATAAATAGCAACTGCTTAAACTTAATATAATATAAAAACTGCACATGCAGTAACTATACACACTTTTTTTAATGAAAAACATAAAGACATGTTTAATTGTGTATATCGTGTCATATTGCCAGACGCTGCTTGAAATATCATGCCAGCTCCCTTATTATTGATGCTGTTGTGTTATTAGTTTTATTCATACCTGTCGTTTTAAGTAATATGCTTTGTTTTTTTTCTCTTTAGTTAACTGGGATACTGTGTGGCGAGCCAATACAACCTCCAAATTCACTGTCAACACACAAATGAACCGTAATGTGGGTCTCCTGCGACTCTTCCCAGGAATCACTGCTGATACAGTAAGGCCGTGTGGTAATGTCTGCCTTTATTTGCCACATATTATCGACAAATTTCTTCATTCAGCGCAAGTACGTGTTCATTATCATATATACTCTCTCATCAGGTGAGGGCATTCTTGCAGCCTCCTATGGACGGGATCGTACTGGAGACCTACGGCAGCGGTAACGCTCCTGACAACCGTGCTGACCTGCTAGATGAGATCCGTAAAGCGACCCAGAGAGGAGTCATCATAATCAACTGCACCCAGTGCCTCAGGGGCTCGGTCACAACCTCATACGCCACTGGCCAGGTATGGGTGTTTGCTTGAGAAAGGCCTCATGTGGGTGTATTCCAGGAGTGTGTAATCCTTTAATATTCCCTCTCAGGCTCTGAGTGATGCCGGTTTGGTCGCTGGGTGTGATATGACGCCGGAAGCTGCTCTTTCAAAACTTTCTTATGTGCTGGCAAAACAAAACCTCAGTATAGAAGAGAAGAAAAAGGTATGCAAAAATGTCTATTAAACCGAAACCACATTTGACATACGAGAGGAAAAAACATTGTAAAATGTAATTCATATGTTTTTAAAGAAATGTTTAAAAGTTGTCATGCAGTGTAACCAAGTAAATAAAAAAAGTAAACAAATATAATGGTAACACTTTATTTCGATAGTCCACTTTAGACATTCTATTAACAGCAAGTAACTTTGCAACTACATGTCAACTAGCAGTTAGTAGAGTATTAGTAGACTGTCTGCTTAATATCTTCTAACACTTTCTTTGACAACATTCTACTAACCCTAGACCTACCCTAACAGTCTACTCTGAGAGTTAGTAGACATGTAGTTGCAAATTAATGAGAATTAGTTGACATGTAGTTACAAAGTTACTTATAGTTAATAGAATGTCTAAAGTGAACTATCGAAATAAAGTGTAACCAATATAATTAATTAATTAATTAATGGGAGAGTCACACCACTTGACAGATTACAAAATGAACTAATTTTGCCTTATCATAAAAAGGCCAATATTTTTAGATCCTGATATTTTAGGCGATTTTTTGTTGTTGTTGTTGTTGCTTTTAAATGTTGGTTATACCACATGATATATTTTTTTAAATATTAATAAGCAGTTTTGTTGTTAATAATAATGATACTAATACTAATTAGATTCTCCCAACGTCTTAATAAGACTTTCTTTTGAAGACCTGCAAGACATTTGTACTTAAACTTTAAAATGAAAACTGTTTTTTTTTTTTTATATAAGATGCTGAGTCGCAATCTGCGTGGTGAGATGATAGCTGACCTGGGCGGAGCAAAGCTTTCTCTCAGTGACAGTCGATTTGTTCAGGTCATCGCCAAGACCCTCAGCATTAGCTGTAAAGAGGTAATGTAACCTGCAGTTTCCCATTTTTTAACAGTGCTTTGCATTTCAAGCACTCAGGTGTAGGGGTGTGTGATATTGACAAAATCCTGATATTTTGGGGGGGATTTTGTTGATAATAATTTGAGCTTAATAATTTGTGCTGGTAACTGGTTGTGGACATCTGATTCCTAAAAATATTCAGAAATATATTGTGCAGTTATAAGCAGCAGTGACCTAAATGAACTTTTAAATTTAAATTGATTTCCAGGGACATTTTTAACTTTGTACTGGGATTTTCTTCGTATCTAGATGTATGCATGATCTTACATTCATTCTATGTCAAATTATTTTATTTATTCAAGAAATTCAGTTACTATAATAAGATACTTTGGAGTTTAAAAATAACATTTTGAACATTGAAATATGAAATAATTAATAAAAATCAAATTCGATTTCAAAATATGCAACTAAATTGTCAGAAGGTTCATAAGGCTGATTCATTAAAAAAAAAAGTAATTCCGTCTTTTATAAACTTTTAATCTTTCACTGCTGTATTTATATGGAACCTTTTCGGTTGCCATTCTAACTGCATTTCAATAGGCCACATCATGCAGTGAATGAGTGGACTGTCAAGTCGTGTTTGTTTGTTTTTTGGAAAGTGAGTGACATACTCAATGTCGACTCACATTGTTACAATAACATTTATTGTACAGCCCTATTATACACAAACAGCTGTGTCGGCTTGATACACTGTATTTTAGTGTAAACTGATGATTTGCGCATACGTGCACTGTAACCAAGTTAGCATAATTCATTTTAGTAATTAGACTGGTAAAACAATGGAGAGTGTTTGCAGATAATTCATGATTTATTCATAGTGAATTCCCGCCCTAAGAGTTTGTATAGCTCTACATGGTACAATCATAATAAGAAGCAGAGGTTGTGATTAACTATACTCTTAAAGGATAATATTAATGTCTACAGGAGCTTGAGGCCATACGAGATGCGCTAACGCCCACTCTGGTGTGTGTTGCTTCTAAGATTGGAGACATTGAGGCTTTAGATGCCATAAGGGAAATGGTAAGATCAAATCTTCCTCAGCATTTAGACATTATAATTCATTTGCAGTTATTATTTTGAAAATATTGGTTTATTTTAAAAATTTGAAATGCCTAATATGCTTCTGCAGATACAGTAAACCATGGTGCTTTTATGGGTTATGCAGGTTCTAGTCAGCCTTGAAGTTTGTTCCAATCCCATTCCCCCTTTTTGTATCTGAATATATTAAAAGTGATGTAGGAGCATTCAAACAAGGTTTGCACTGTCAAATGTGGTCCAGTAAAACACGATACAGAACATGACTAATGTCTTCTATATAGGGAACTGACTTGAGCATGGCAGATTATGATGGCCGCACTCCCCTCCACATCGCCGCGTGTGAGGGCCATCTGAAAGTGGTGGAGTATCTGCTGGGTAAAGGGGCCACCGTCTATGCCAGGGATCGCTTTGGTGATACACCTCTTCGCAATGCTGTTCGCTTCAGGTAAGATTGATTTTAGTGTCCAAATGCTTTTTGAGACAAGCAGAAGTACTTTCCATAAGTCAGTCTTTAAGACGAGCTAGACTGGTGGTTTTTAACTGATGGGTTGTGACCCAAAAAGTCTGGTTGTAGACAGCAGGGGAAAAAAAAAACATTGCTAAATGCAACTCACCATATCATTATTCCTATTTAGGATAGCATTTACTTACCTTCCATTCCAAAACAGTATGAATTACTTTCTTCCTTCAGACACAAATGATGAACTCCAAGGTAAAGTCAATTAAGATGTAAGTGACTGTATATGCGACCTTTCTATGTCTGTAGGCATAAGGAGGTTGTGAAACTGCTGAGGAAGACTGGAGCTCATTTTTCCCGGGAGGAAATGGAGGATGCTGGAACAGAGTTGTGCAGGTCTCATTTACATTTCTTCTCAGTCCTTCTTTTTCTTATTGCTGTTATAAACTTGTGGGCACAGACATTTGATAGATAGCACAAATGTTTATTATTATTATTATTAATTTATTTTATTACTATTCTTACACTTAGAGTGGTTTTCCAAATGGTAAATTAATATACAGTTCAACAATCTTTTTTTTTTTTTTTTTATAATTTAAAAATGATGAACAGTTCAGTGTATTGAACACATAACAGAACTGATCATCTCCTGTGTTGATGATTGCCCATTTACAGCTTCTACTGTGTGTCTTACAGTCTTGCGGCGAGTGGCAACTTAGAAGCATTGGAGATTTGGCAGTTAGCTGGGGTTGATATGACCATGTGCAGTTATGATGGACAGACGCCCATTGAAGTGGTGAGTTTATAGGGATTTGAATGAAATAAATAATTGTAACCAAACAATTAATACCTTCAGTGATGTTTCGTTCATATAGCCGTATGAATGAACTTGCAAGACATTTTGATGTTGTGTTGCATTGGCTGTTCTCTTCAGGCAAGAGCCACTGGATGTGAGGAGGTTGTTGAGTTCTTAAAGCAGGCTACTCTGTACCAAACAAAGGTATGGAACCTAAAGTAACTAACTAACGCATATATATTTTCAGTTATAAGGATATTATATTATGATATTATCTTTTACTTGATGCTTAGACCACAATTTCAAAACCATTAGAATTTTTGGAATTGAGTGGTTTATTTTAAATGGTTCTGTGGTATGACATGAATTGAATTCCTGACATGAAAAGGAATATGCTGTTTGAAATATGAATTTGTTTATATAGCATGTGCATTACTAAAGTTAGTTATGCACAACTGAAATACACTGAATATGCCTACCTTTCCACAGACTGATACATTTTAAGTATTTATCAGATAAATATATTATATTTATCAGGTAGACTAATACATATTACATATTAAGTATTCTCAACATAAACATTAAGGGGTTTCAGAATAACTAAGCTTTCTTTTTTATAATTGATCTGTTTACTGATACTCTTAACTTTTCAGCATCAGACAGATGAGGGAAATGAGGTAAAAACAGTTCATCAGAGTAAAATAAAATCATTAATTTCATTTCATGTGGAAAAAAATCTCTCTATGTATATACACACACACTCAGTATATACTGTTTAAAAAATGTGCATGCTTCAGAGTGATGTGGAAGTGCTTGTCTCATTGGAAGGGTTGTGAGTTGATCTCTCACAGAAAAACAATACAGGTTTTGGCATACAGAAATGAATAGTTTGAAAGGCATCTTTCATTACCTTTAGTGAGTAAATGGTCCTGTATTGTAAAACATCCATTGCTGTGATGAAGACTTGTAAGTGTGCTCAAGGTCTTTGTGGCATGATTAGTGTGTAAGTGAAGTTACCAAAAATCAACAGCTAAGTTAACAAAACAATCCCTCGTCTTTTTCTTGCAGCCAGTATTTGAGGAGGATGCGGAGGAGGTAAATTGTGTGTTGAGCTGAATAGCATTCAGCACACATGTGCAGTCATAATTTACACTGAGCTGTGCTGTGCTGTGATTGGACAGTGTTCGACCATTTTTATGTTCATAAATGAGCAAAAAAATGAGCAATCAAAGTAACTTGATTGTGCATTGATGCATTAATATTTCACAGATGGAGAACTGCTTTAATGTGCTCTTCAAAAAATGAAAGTTGTTAAACTGATAAATACTGTGACTGCAATCTGCATTTTGCACATTGATTTAAAGTGTGAAAGTGTGCTTATATTACATTATTCCCTGTCTGTTCTCTAGAATGGCGAGTATATCGAGTTTACCGCTTGTCCAAGATCCTGAGGAGGCCGTCCTGCTAGCTGTCACTTTTTTTTTTGCCATTATCATCCATCCAGTTTTTACCTGACCTATTGCAGATTTTCCTTACTTGGACCAACATCCTCTTAAAACATAAAACGCACAAGCCATAGCTTTTAAGCCTGTCCCTCTAACACAGTAAGCAATCAGTTATGAATGTATCGTGATAATGAACAATCATACACACTATATATATATATATATAAATATGATATATTTATCGTTTAGATTCAGAATGAATTTAGATATGTGAAGCTGTCAGGACTAATGGCTGTTGTCTTCATTCAGTGTCCTTAATGTGTTCACATGTATCAGATTCAGTATCACCTCAGTGCTGTCACCTAAACCTGAATGTATTTTTAAAAAGCAAATACAATTGAAACCGCAGTGAGGAGGAAGGATACATAATGTAATATACAGAGACGCAAACCCAAAAAAAGTTTGATGGTTCAAAAGTTGTACATGTTAAACTAAAACAACCAGTTGCCCTACTGAGTAACTGTCAAAAACAATGTTTATAATCCAAAAGGTAGTGGAACATCAGTGCTTTCTTGTTCTTTATTTTTGTTCGTCTGTAATTCAGTGTTTCGTATTCATACGTATTCATGGTTGAATTTTAGTTCACCTCAGAAAAGGTTTCAATCAAATTGTTTTATTGTTACGTTTTTAATTGTTGTAGCAATAGAAATATGAAAGCATATGTTTATGCTGTTGAAACATGCAAATCAACACATGCCTGTCATTGTGACATTAAAATTGTGACATGTTTTGTTGCAAAAATGTAAAGTACTTTTTTCATGTGCAAAGAAAAAATGACTAAAGTGTCCAAAAATACATAAATTATATTTCACATTATGACATACTGAGCCAGGTAACGTTATAAAGAGAGAGTCAGTTAAGAACTTCTAAGTATATATTTGTATTTATTATAGAATTTTATTCATTGCTTTTCACTGCTTTTAATTTTTTCTGATACTGACTTGCTTTGTATATAGGAAATTGATTCAAAGGCTGATTGTCCTGAAAAGGCTCGTTCAGTATTTTGTCTTTTGGCCTGACCAACAGCAGACAGGGAAGTGTGCAGAAAGTCTGTTTGAAAACTGAAGTCATTATTTTTTTAAATTCTGTTCATTAATTGTAGTTGCACAGAAGTTCAACCTTAATGGTTAAACAAACAGTCAGAAATTATTAGAGATATTTCTCCCCTGTAGCTCAAGGAGGGTGCTGTTTCTTCATCTTTTCAAAACGTTCCTCCGAAAGTACTGGTTCAAACTATTAAGGGCAGTAAGATTATTATTTATTTTTTTATTTATTGAAAAAAATATATCAAAGTGGTAGTAAAATTTATTTATGAAATAAATGCTGTTCTTTTGACCCTTCTATTTATCATAGAATCCAGGTAAACAAATAAACACATACAAAATTGATCACCATTTTCCACAAAATTACTGAGCAGCACAACTGTTTTCAATATTGATGAAGAAATGTTACTTGAGCACTAAATCAGCATTAGAATGATTTCTAATGGATCATGTGACATTTAAGACTGAAGTAATTATGCTTTTCAGATTTGCAATTACAGAAATAAATTACATTTCAAAATATATTAAAATGGAAAACATTAGATTAGTAACATTATTAGTAACGTTTTTACTGTGTTATTATTTAGCATGTACGTAGTAGAAATTATCATTAACGTAATGAATTATCAATGTACGGTATTTTTATAGACTGGCATCAATAGATCAATAACTCATGTAAAAATTATACCTAATGCATTACTATTTAACAATTGTAACAAGTTATGTTATATTAACCCCTTCAGACCTGATTTTTTTCTGCTGAGCAAAAAAACAATTTCTCAGTTGATTTTTACTCCCTTCCAGCATAGAAATAAAGGGGGAAAAACATTTTTGATAACTCATGTTTTTATTGGTATTTTTTCATGTCCATTACAATGGACGCCACAACTAAATGAACGTAAAATGCCATGAAATCTTAGATTAAAAAAGGCCATGTTTTTAACATAGGAGGTTGGCGGATTGAATGGATTGAATGATTGTGGGCAATGTAACCCCAAGAAATCAGTCTTGCATTCAGATATCATGGAACTTCCAAATGCATTGCTAACTTTTAACATTGTAAGCACGTCTTAAACTGCTCTGACACTTCCATTGTTGCTCCTTGGTGCAGCAGGAAATCATAGGCCATGCCACTTTTCCCACACAGGAAGTATATTTTCACCCCCAAGGGTGTGGCTTGCCTTTTACGTATTGCTTGACAGAGAGAGATCCATGAAATGGCACCATTTGTTCATCAACACAAAGGTTTTCCTCTAGTGGAAGCTCCAAGCATCTTCTGCGCATGGCATCATAGAGAGGACATACCTTATAAAACACATCATTGTTCTCTGCCGGCCTCTCCAAATTGTTGACCAAATGCAAATGTGACCGAAGCTGGAAGAATCTGTCACGGCACATGGTGTTTCAAAAAATACCAATGTCCATCCTGGCTTCCTAGTACATGGAGACTCTTGGCATTTTCATCACGCCCATAGCAAGGTGGAGACCAATGAGGGTTCTGATTTCCCCTGAACTGGTGGGTTTGAAACCTAGTGTGCCACTTTGCATGGCATAGATGTTGGTGCTGTCAGACCACTGATCAAATGACTAACAATCAAAGGTGATTTATTTTGTGAATGACGTGTCAAACAACACACTGTCAAGCAAAAACAACATAATTTGCTGTCTCTCTCTGTCTCATTCATACCCATAGCAACATTGTTTGGTAAATGATACTTTGTCATTTAAGCACATTGCTTGTTTTCTTATGGCACCCTTTCATTTAAATGATCACAAGCATATGTTTGGGCTCATCTGAGAGGGGATGCTGCTTTTAACAGTTGGGCCTCTTGTGTGTGTGTGTGTGTGTGTGTGTGTGTGTGTGTGTGTGTGTGTGTTGGTCCGCTAGGGCGGGAGGGATTTCTTTTTAAAAATGGAGAGATTAAAGCAATCTTTTCAACAAACTATAAGCAGCCGCATGGCTCTATTAGCTCATCTGTTCACCTAACAAGGGTGGCCCAATGTAACGACACTTTGGGGCCACATGAATATTTATGCGCTTTTAGGATAAGCCACCCATTTTTAATTAGGACATGGAGGTCGTGCAAATCTGGCCACTATCTGTGTTTAAATGGGGAACATCCCCCAGTGCGCTCCTCAATAACCCCCGCTAACATGGTGCACATCCAGTCTGAATTCTGCATCTTCACAACATTTGCTCATCCCACCTCCTGCTCGCTAAAAAGCGTAATCATCTGCACTTTGCCTTTCACTTGAGGGGACGTCCCGCTGCTCAGGCAGACGGCCCCCTAAAATGGTTTAAAATCCCCCTGACTCCCTTTCCTTTTTTAGAGAAAACCTTAGGTCCACCCATCTCTCAGTCTATAAACAATATGTCCATTTGAAAAGAGCTAACTTTTTTTTTTACATTAGCTTAATTCAACTAAATGAGAGGTACTGCTTGAGTATTGAAGCTTTCATAAATATCAGATGTGTGCTGCCTGCAAAGTGACTGACATTATCACTAAACTTGACAGAACATGCACATCACATGTAGATTTTTTTTTAAAGAGTATTTGTTCATATGAAATACCTCACAAGAAAATGATTGTGAAAATATAAGTGCATTCAGCAGATACTTTAGTGATTTTATGAATATGTATCTGTTCTTTTAGATTAAAAAATAAATCCATCCATCCATTACTATTTACATTTTAGTTGTAATATGTCAAAAGGAAACCTGGCTTTATCCGATGCAATCCAATACAGATTTCTGTTCTGGAAAGTATGCAAATTAGCCCATATTTAGTTGAGAATTAGTGCAATTGCCTCATTTCCGTATTTAAACAAGATCAGAAACTTGTATTACAATAATAATATTATTATATTTCCTTTTACCCTATTTACATGTAGTGTCTTGCCCTAAATAATATGTTATTAATTTAATTTAAGTATAAACAATAGACCAAATACTAATTACTAAGTTGTGTAATAAACTAATTGTAGGGAATCCTTGCATTTGTTGTAAACCATGCATTGAAGAGGCCAGGAATATGTAATTCAACATTATTAACCATTATTGAATTTGTAGCATGCTGTATATAACAGGGTTTTAAATAAAAAGAATAAAAAGTAATATTTACTTTAATATTTTTTTACTATCATATTTTAAATAATATGGTAGACCTGATTATAGGTACATTTAATCTTCTACATATACTGTAAATAATTCAGGGTTCAAACGATTTTAAATAGTAGCCATTAACAGTGAGTTTTAATTTTCTTTTGGGGGTAAATAACAAAATAAAATGTGAGATGAAGCCTGACGACAAGCTCTGGAGGGCACTGTTGATCGCAGCAGGACAGTTTGTCATCCTCGAGGTGAGAACCTTCCCTTCACATAAATGATTTTGTGGCCTTTGTAAGTGCATTACGTGCATGATACAATCATATATTTGCCATATTTGTTTATTTCAAAGCACATAGAATATAACATTTTACCCAGCACTGTGTAATATTACATACATTTATTTACACAAAACTGCTGAACTACAATCTAATTCTGGCTTTCATATTTAACTGTTTAATTTGTCAAATCTGTTGTTCAGAGTGACTAACAGCCAGAATAAACACGTAACATCCTTGTACATCACTTGCCAAACAAGTCAGTACACGTTCAGTCGGCCCATAAAAGGTGTTCCAGTAAAGGGTGACGCAACTGAAATGATTAGAACCTGAGGAAAAATACTATGAAGCACAATAAATGACATGTAAAATTATTGAAACATTGTGTGAATTGAGTAATGGACAAGAAAATAAGCCTCAGGGTTGGTTTTTTATCACTATCTGTACAGAGGCAATCGTGTCACCAAAGTGGATTCTGAAAGCTTTAAAGCATTCGCCTCACCAAACCTGTCAATGCTGAAGTCGACGCTGAGAGTACACTCTTAAAAATAAAGGTGCTTCACGATGCCATAGAAGAACCTTTTTGTCTAAATGGTTCCAGAAAGAACCTTTAACATCTGAAGAACCTTTCTGTTTCACAAAAGGTTCTTTGTGGCGAAAGAAGGTTCTTCAGATTAATAAAAAGATAAGAAAAAGCCCATTTCTTTCACCGAAGAACAGAAAAAGCTTTGGTCATTCATAATTATGACAAAAAGTCATAATCATGTGATTACAAATTCAAATTATTAGAAAAAAGTATGAGAAAGTAAGTCAAAATTATAAGACAAAAAGTTGAGATACTAAGTCATAACTGGGACACAAAAGTCATAATAATGGCATAAAAAGTCAAAATTATGAGATACTGAGTCATGGCATAAAAAGTCAAATTTATGAGATACAAAGTCATAATTATGGTATACAAATTTAAACTTATGAGATACTAAGTCATAGCTATGACATACAAATCACATTTTCGAGATACTAAGTCATAATTATGGCTTAAAATGTCAAAAGTATGAATACAAAGTCATAAATATGGCATAAAAAGTCAAAATTATGACATACGGAGTCTTAAATATGGCATAAAAAGTCAAAATTATGAGATACAAAGTCATAACTATGACATAAAAATAAAATTTTTGAGATACTAAGTCATAATTATGGCTTAAAATGTCAAAAGTATGAGATACAAAGTCATAATTATGGCTTAAAATGTCAAAAGTATGAGATACAAAGTCATAAATATGGCATAAAAAGTCATAAATATGGCATAAAAAAAAATCACAATTATGAGATACAAAGTCATAATTATGA